AAACTTGACTTAAGCAAGCTGATAATTTTTACATATCATCGAATAGTAATAGTAAATAGAAGTGTCCAAGGTCGCCTATTGTTGAAATTTGTTCAGAAATTTGTTGAGACTGAATTTTGCTAAACTTTGATTTTCGTCCGAGAAGAGGCGTTTTACCTAATCGTAAGCAAAACAACGCTCAGTTCGCCTCAATATTTGAAGATATTTCAAAAACAATGAAGCCACAACAGTGTACGATTCGACATTATGTAATCTGAGTACATCAATAACAAATTTTTTCGGTAAGAAACTCGAATTATTGCCGTTATCACCGAATGCAACACACTCAATATTCCTATGAATCGCTCGCTCTTCTAACCCTAAAAAATTCGAAATTGAATTTAAAAAAACTTACACGATCTGAATTGGGCGATGGAGGTGACATCCAATCCAATGGTGTTGTATCATCACTACACTGTTCTTTCGCTATTGCCTCGTTTAACGCTCCTCAATCATTACTACTCTTTAAATTCAGTGTGGTAATTCATGAAAGTACTCCTCAATTCGATCACGAACGAAATTTGAAAAGTGACTGTAACAGGAAACAAAAAACCACTAGTCATATACCACCGCCAAAGTGTTTCTCTAATTTCGCACTCCTCATTGATACGTCTCCATCGCTTGTGTCTCTGAAATTCAAAAAAAAACACTTCAATTTCAGATCTCAAATCTAGCAACTTCGTAAATTTCAGCCCTTCATTCAGCATTCCGGACAAACCAACTCCGTTCATATCAATAACTTTAAAAGAAAATGTCGCCAGATGCAAGCAAAATATTAATCCACCTCAGTGACTGTTCAGAGTATTGTTTAGGCTCATCACTGATACCGTAAATCCGCTCAATCTGATCGATGAACTGATTGGTTCGTTTCAATAGCTCCACACATTCATCGCCCGCACCAGCCTTTCCTCAAACATTTCACCACGGTATTCATCAATCATAGCAATTCTATAATATTTTTTAACATCTAATGGAAATAATTTTAGACATCTATAAATTATTCTTATAATGATAAGATTAATAATGGAGCATAAAATAAGAACGAATGCAAACAAGTTATTTATCAATAATATGCCGGTACAGAAAGAGTGCAGATTCGAAGATAACTGATACAGTCTATGATGTTTTGAATAATCGGAGAAAGCTATTCAGTGATCCGAAACAATTGAACTCAATTTTATGACTGCTAATCAATTTTGATATCGAGGAGTACCAAGATCACCAGGTACCCATACAAGAGGGGAAATTACCCATTTGTGGGTGATTTGGTAGTGTCACGGTGGTAATAGAGGGGATCAGGAAATTAGTTTTGATGTTATGCGATGAAATAGTATATTATTGAAGTGAAAGAGGGGGGGGGGTCGAGGGGGAGATAATGACGGCCTGCCAGACCATTGAATGAAGTAATGAGCATCCGAGCCTAAAGACTATTGGGGTGGTGTCTTACCATGTGCTAATCAGCTAGCACAGATATCAGTCTATTACCGAATTGTCTCAGTCAAAATACTTTCCGTAAGGTGAGCATTAAGGTACTAATTTAAGATTTTACTTGATTGGGTTATATTCTTGGAGTATGCTGATTGGTTGATATTCTTCGAGCTCTTCGATGTCACTTGTTGCTTTGAGACTCTCTGCTGCTGCGTAGCGCTGATAGCCTCGACTTTTACTGCCGGCTTAGGCTTATCATGAGCAACACTGCCTTGCAGATCACTGAATATACGAACAAATATACACTTGTTAAGCATTTTCACCTAATAATGTTATTGTTATTGAATCAAATTAAACACTTTCAGCAATATCCCACAAGTAGTAATGAACTGCACTCGGCAGAGACTGAACGGTCTTCGCGGTAGCTCAGATGTAGAGCCCCAACCAGTAATTGGTACGTCGCTGGTTCGATTCCCGTTCGCGGAGGAAAGTTTTGCTCGACACCGAGTGGTGTACCAATATCATTAATGTTGTGAGCCTGAGCCAGGCTATGATCCGGCTTATACCTATTATCGAATTGTACAACACTATTGTACTGATGTTTCAAGTTCAAACAACTACAAATCGAAAAGAAGTTCTGCCGGACGAATTTTCATCTCTTTCGAAAGTATCGTAAGATTTCCAAACAACTCAAGCTGTTAACTCTCAAATATTTCACGAAACCATTAACAATTAGATGATACCGTTTCAAAACTTAACAAGTGGCCAAACCTCATATCTTTCGTTTGAGGTTTCGATGGTGCCAGCGATGAATTGCTTCGCGTTGCCGTCCAATCAGTCTCACACGATCCATCTTGACCTGCGTTCGAGTCATTGTCCCTAAAAACTCTCACTAATCACGTCAGTGGCTAAGATAGAATACCGACACGAGGACGCACATCATCCTATCTAGCAATATTCTACACAAGCGATTTACATTAAAAACCAACTTCTTCAGGTGGAGTGTATACTTGATCAAGAGAAATTCTTCGCCAAGTTCCATTGTAATAAGTGAATGTCTGAAATTCAATTTAATAGTTTAAAAAACGACACATTTATAGATGAAAATAATGTCCATGGCAAAACTCTACTGATAAACCGATTCAATTTCGAACATTGATAAAAATCCAATCGAAGATACTTTTGCTAATCCATCCGAGTAATTCACCAAGTGAGCGAGAGCCAAACGAATAGTTTAAGTAGCGCTTTTAGAAAACTCGTTAAAAAGCTTAGAGACTAACTCTTCAACGTACCAACGATGACCTCGCGACCACTTCCGGCTAGCACTTAAACTGCAAAATAAGACGTGATGAATTTATCTTTCTACATTCAATAAATTGAAATGTTTCGAATGAAAATATTACATAATCGATTATTATATTTACATTACATTTATCATATTTATATACGTATGCAAAATGCAAATATTAATCAGACATTAAAAGATTAGAACTGCATTAAGGAACGGTGATCAATCTAGTGCGTACCAATGAAATTAATTGACCTAAGCGTAAGCCTAAGCCTAAGCCTTCTGATTATGGTGAGCCTTTTGACTATGGTGATTATGTTGTATATTGAAC